GGGTTGCTGTCAAGGACATGTTTGTCTGTTAATTAAATGCTGTAATTTATCTCTGGCTCGGAGTGTGCTTTGGTGTGGAATGTGGGGGGTCAGGACAGATGGGTATCTATCTCTGCCTTTTTGCCACTTCTCTTCTTGCCACGTGAAGTGCAATTGTTATAGTGTCCGTTTCCGGGAAAGTAGGTTTTAAGTCAAAATTTATTCCACAGATAGGACAGCAACTGATCTAGAAAGGCTATGGAATCAGGAAGTTTTGGTCATAGGGATGACCTTCTAGCATAGAACTTGTCCTCCATTTGTGGTGGCAAAGTTCTGGAGTTGTTCCCAGACATCACCCTTTCACTCCCAAAGATGCTGACCGTCTCTCCTGCTTCTTCTTCCTCTGCAGCACTGCCTGACAGAGATTGAGGCCCTGGCCATTATCTTTGCAGCTGCAATCCATGACTATGAGCACACGGGTACCACCAACAGCTTCCACATCCAGACCAAGTAAGTAAAGAGGTTGTATGTATGGATGTTCCATTGTTAAACTTACACTGTTGTTTTAGGGGGAAGAAGAGCTCTGAAAGACTTTTGGAACATACAATAACAAAGTCAACTGTGATAGTTACTTGAGGCCTCCATGGCCTATTTTGCTAGGTAATTAAATATACACCCAGGGGTGGGCTGCTACAGGTTTGCCTGGGTTTGGGAGAACCCCTAGCTAACATTATGGCCGGTTTGGAGAACTTCCAAATCCCACTCCTGGCTGGCCCCGCCCACCCCTCCCCTCCCAGGAGTCTCCACGTGGCCCGTTTTGGATGTGAGGAAAGTGCAGGGCCCGCCCAGAGGCTTGGTGAGGTGGATAAAAAGGCCTCCTGGAAGCTCCAGAAGGCCAGAAATGGAGCCTGTTGGGAGGGCACTTTTCGCCCTCCCATGAGCTCGAGGAAAGCCTCCAGAGCCTGGGGAAGGTCAAAACAGCCTCCCCGCCATGGTGCAAGAAGCTGGTTAGGCCACACCCACCATGGCCACGCCCCCCCAGCAACAGGGCAGAGAACGCATTGCTGACATTTTTGAAGCCCACCCCTGGATAAACCAGTGTAGGCCATTGTAGGCAGGTAATCCTTGACTTACAACAGTTCATTTAGTGATGGTTCAAAGTTACAACGGGATTGAAAAAAGTGTGCATTTTTCACACTTATGACCGTTGCAGTTATCCCTATGGTCATGTGGATGTGTGGCAAGTGGCTCATATTTATGACGCATGCAGTGTCATCACGGGGTCACGTGATCAGCTTCTGCGACCTTCTGACAAGCAAAGTCGATGGGGGAAGCCAGAATCAGTGAACAACCGGGGTTACTAACGTAACAATTTGAGCGATTCCCTCAGCAACCGTGGCAAGAAAAGTCTTAAAAGTCCTCTTAACAAATGTTTCGCTTAACAACAGAAATGCGGGGCCCAATTGTGGTCATAAGTCGAGGACTGCCTGTATTTGGAGTTGAGCAAAATGCTGAAAAGTTCACCAGTTCCTCAGAACAACAAGATCCTTCGTCCCTGCCCTTGACGCTTACGTTTGCTTCATGGTTTCCCTCCTTTTCAGGTCAGATACAGCCATTTTGTACAATGACCGGTCTGTTCTGGAGAATCACCACATCAGCGCCATCTTCCGCATGATGCAGGATGACGAGATGAACATACTTATTAACCTGACCAAGGATGAATTTGTGTGAGCCCTCATCCTCCCTTCCTCTGCTGAACCAAGTTCTCAGGAAAACCAGCACTGTTTGGGGGGGGGGGCATGCTTGCACTGAGGAATGCTTCAAAGCGGGG